CCAAATTGGCAGGGTATACAAGAACTCCTGCTGTAGCAAAGGAGTCAGAGAGTAAACAATTGTTAAACAAAATGAGAAACGTGGGTAAATATTTGAGGAGCAAAGCATAACTGGAAATGGCCTGAACATGGAGAATCTGAAAAACTTCAAGGGTTAGGAGAAATGAAGTTCAAGGTAAGGAATGATTTGAATGATTTAGAGATCACCAAAAGAAGAGGGCAAGGATATTCTCATCTGGCTGTTGGCACAGGACACACTAGGGCACAGGAGTATGACAGCTCTTGACTTTTCAAGAAATCTGTAAATTGAACACCTATTGGAAGTCCAACAGTTTCACGCAGGTATGTGCAATAGATAATTATCATTCCATTTTACAAAGGGAGCTCTGAAACGTTAAGTAACTTGCCCAAGGCCATCTAGCTGTTAAGCAGGAAGAAACAAACTGGAACTCAGAAGGTTCTCTCAGTCTAAATCTGGTGACCCTCTCACACACATGTGCCCTCTACCTCCTTCTGCAGCCTCAGATGACAGGCTCTATCCATCTGCCTTCTCCCAGCTAGCTTCATAGTTTCTTTTCTCAGAACTTCTTCCATGATTAACCATGATCAGATTCATGGGCAAGGGCAGGAGGCCAGAATCTCAAGATCTCTCCCACCACCACTTGCCGGCCCTGGGTAACCTAAGCCCAGAGATTTAAATCTCTGCCTTGGCGTGTCAGGTCTTTTCCTCCAGGTTGTTGAGGATCAAAAGAGCATAGGAACGAGACCACGCTCCCTCACCTTCCATCAGGTCCCCTTCCCTCCGGCCGCAGCCAGCTACATCCGGGGCAAGAACCTACAAGTCCGGTTCAGCAGGTGCGTCTCAGCTGCCCTGCGGACAGAGCCGCACCTTCCAGGCTGTCCTGGCACCAGAACCCATCAGGGCATGTATCTACAGTTGGACAATTCCACTGGGCGAAGGCCCGGGACAGAATGCGAAGGAGAAGAGCCCCAATACCCCAGTGGTAGACTGCTGCTTTCGCATTCGGCCTCCGCACACGTCCAGTAACCCAAGGTCCAACCTCTCCTCCCTGCCGGTGATGAAAATCCTCCGCTCTCCTGCTACCTCTCCCAGAGACCCAGGGCGCTAACCTGGCCCTGGAGCCTGAGCTGGGAGAGTTAATTCCAACCGCCTCTCGCCGGTTCCCCGGCGCCGCGTCGCCAGGAGCGCCTGCCATTGGCCAAGAAGCCGGCATGGCGCTGATTGGCCGAGGCACTCCCAGGCACCCACAGTGGGCGCTGCGCACTCCGACTAGAGTGTGGCGGCGCCTTCTCCGCAGGCTACCTCTCGGAGCTGCTGCGAACTCCAGCAGCTCCCTCTCGGAGCTGCTGCGAACTCCAGCAGCTCCCTGGGAACGCACAGTCTACGCCGGAGTCCAGACTTTCGCGATCCCGATCTCCTTGCTGTCCCGGGGACGCCACCAGATCTCCTGGATCCTTTTCCTGCATAATCTCCTGTTTTTGTTTTTGTTTTCTTTTGTCTTCCTTCCCAGCTCAGCTCCACTTTTCCCTTCCGTACTCCCGGACCCCCAGCAGCCAGCCATTCTCAGCATCTCACCTATGGTCCCTCTGACTTCTGTCCCTCCTTGACATCAACTCCTTTGACCAACAGAAGCCTGTCGTAACCTTCTCGCCAGACTCCCCTAACTTCTTTCTTCTCTTTTTGCCAGCTCCTGACTCCCAAATCCAGCTAATCTTTGACCTTCTGACATTTGACCCTGACACTCTTGACTCCGGAGACCTAAATTCCTACCTCCTGCAGTCTGGACTGCTGAAACTGAGGTCTTTCCTGATTTCTGACCCCGTTTCTGAAGCTCATTTTAACTTTCTTACTCTTGGGCCAGTTCTTGCTACCGCTACACCAGTATGGACTTCATGATGAGCGGCCTGGCAGCCTGTGGGGCCTGTTTGTTCACCAACCCCCTGGAGGTGGTGAAGACTAGGATGCAGTTGCAGGGAGAACTGCGGGCCCCTGGCAGCTACCAGCGGCACTACCGAAACGTCTTCCATGCCTTCATTACCATCGGCAAGGTGGACGGCCTGGCTGCCCTGCAGAAAGGCCTGGCCCCTGCCCTCCTATACCAATTCCTGATGAATGGCATTCGGCTGGGCACCTACGGGATGGCTGAGGCTGGAGGCTACCTGCACACAGCTGAGGGCACCCTCAGCCCGGTCCGCAGCGCAGCAGCTGGTGCCATGGCTGGGGCCATGGGAGCCTACTTGGGGAGCCCTATCTACATGGTGAGAAGGGTCTTGCCTGGGGCCTCCAAGGCAGACACTTGGTGTGGGGTGGGGACCTGGGCCTTCATAACTGATACTGAGATTGGAAGTGGATTTGTGTAGGGGTGGGTGAGGAGCTTGAGTAGCATACCTCAGCAAGTGTAAGGATCAGGAGCGGTCCTGGGCATCACAGAGTTACAATCTCACAGTTGGCCCTTTTGAGTTATCCAGGTTATAGACCCTTTGCCTGAGGCCTAGAGAGGGGAAGTGACCAGCTCAAGGTCACACAGCTGCTTATTGCTAGGACTAGGCCCTGCTTTGCACTTCTCCTGGGAAGACACTGAGAGGCACTAAGTTCTGAAGGAGAGGCAGTCTGATCTCACTCCTAGGATATGAGATTCAGGGACAGTACCCTCTACAAAGTCAGCTGAACCCATGGCCCCATGAAGTTTTGGGGTCAGGTGCAGATGACCCCTTACAACCCACCAGAGTCTGATGGGGAACCTGATTGTGCTGGTGGCTGGAGATCCTGACTGGGAATAGGAACTGGCATGAGAGGCTGGACACCCAGGTGTTGCCTAACGTGAAGAATCTTAGGAAATGTTGGCATGCTCTAACCTCTCCATCCCCATGCCTACTCACAAGGGAAGGAGGCTGTAGAGGGGGGTGGGGTGTCTTGCAGTGACATGAAATCCATTCCCCAGGACTGGAGCCAAGGGACAGAGTCTCATGACCAATTCGTTAAGTGGGAACAACAATAATTATCAGATTAAAAGGATATTCATTGTTGAACACCCTAAAGGAAGTATGAGGGGTTCAGGTGTTTGGGTTTCTGAGGTAGAAGGATGGTCACTAGGCCATAGGTTGTGATACTCTCTTGTCCTCAGGTTAAGACACACCTACAAGCACAGGCAGCCTCAGAAATTGCTGTAGGGCACCAGTATAAGCATCAGGTAAGGTGTTTCCAACCTCACTGGAGCCCCTGCCATTCTCTCCCATTTGGCCCCAACTTTCTGCCTGCACCCAGCAGCTCCAACCCAGACAAGGCTCTGCCCAGCCAATCAATTCAGCCTCCTTCTACCCCTGAAGTCCACCCAGATCCTCTTCCCCACATGTTCCCCAGTTCCTCTAGTCTTTTGCACCCGTTTCTCCTGCCCCATTCTCCTAGTCTGCTAATGTCCTCACCTCCATACTCCCTAGTCTGGGATGGCAAGGGAGGAGACAGCGAGGTGGTAGACAATCAAAGGGCAACATTCTGGTGCTGAGCTCACACACAAAGGTTGTCCAGACATCAGATGCCTGTTATGCACCCATCCTTAGCAGTGTTGGAAGATGGCAGCCCTTGATACCAATGTGACTAAACCCTTCCCCATGGTCTTCCCTCTACCAGGGCATGTTTCAGGCACTAACAGAGATTGGCCAGAAGCACGGTCTGGTGGGGTTGTGGCGTGGGGCCATTGGTGGGCTACCTCGAGTTATCTTCGGTTCCTCCACCCAGCTGTGCACCTTCTCATCCACCAAGGACCTCATGATCCAGTGGGAGGTACTGCCTGGGAAATGGGTGGGGCCACCATGGGAATGTGGGCAGGGGAGTGCAAGCTGAACTGAGTCTTAGAGAAGTCAGTACCAACACTTAATGTGAGGGAGTGGCAGAAGGGTTGGGGATCACCCTCTACAGCCTTCCCACAGCTCTCATCATTCCTCCCAGAAGGTTTATGTGAGTCCTTCACAGTGAGTGTCCATACTGTACCATAACTGATAGAGTGGAAGCTCCTTGAGTTACCAGCTCTCTACTGTATCCCCCGTGCAGGGCCTGCCCTTTCCTAGGAGTTGAATGATTGGCTGATTGACAAAGCTCTTCCTTCCCTTAGATATTTCCTCCCCAGAGCTGGAAAGTGGCTCTGGCAGCTGCTATGGTGAGTGGCATTGCAGTGGTCCTAGCCATGACACCCTTTGATGTGGCCAGCACAAGACTCTACAACCAGCCCACAGACACTCGGGGCAAGGTAAGGGAGTGCTCTGGGGTTCAGACAGGCAGGAAAAGCTGGAGAGGGAAGGGGGAGAGCAGATTCTGGCTGCAAGTGAGACAGCCCAAAAGGCAGCCTGCAGAAGTGAGGCCCCTGATGGGCTCTGACAAACTCCTTCCCTATTCTCTCCCTCCTCCAATCTGCTCTCAGGGCCTCATGTACCGGGGGATGCTGGACGCTCTGCTGCAGACAGCTCGGACAGAGGGCATTTTTGGCATGTACAAGGGTATAGGAGCCTCCTACTTCCGCCTCGGCCCTCACACCATCCTCTCCCTCTTCTTCTGGGACCAGCTGCGCATCCTCTACTACACATACACCAAATAACAGCGACTCTTCCACACTCTACCAAATCAGGACTCCTTGGTCACTTCTGCCTCCATTATTATATGTCCTGGTGATTTCTGACCAGTTGACCTTTCATCCATCAGAGGGGGACAGTCAATACCACTCCCCATCTGTTTTCTCAGGGTTAAATTACTACAAGAGAGTTTCCTTCCCTTCCTTGGATGTCACTTTAAATGTCCTCTACCTGGCCCCCTGTACATTTCACACCCTTCCATCAGGGCTGAACCAGTCACTCCGAAGAGACTCCCTTTCTCCACTGCCAGCCTTGGGTCCCTTCTGATCCCATGTACAACTTTAAACTCCCCCTCCAAGACCAAAGGGTACTGGGGAGACCCGGGGTCCTTTTAGATTCAAAGGCACGGAGATTATGTTGGTTATAAAGCAAGTTTATTTCTGCAGAGAAGTGTCTTATGTTTATGCACAGGGAAGGAATTTGGGGGATATATCCAACCCTTTATTCCCCTTGCAGAATGGGCTCCCCAAGTCTTCAGCAGCATCATGTAGCTTTTCAGCATCTTTACTGGGGACCAAAGATATTGGGATCATGAAGAGTCAGACTGGTCACCAGCAGTTCAAAGTCACCCAGGCTCCAGGGTGGAAGTGACTGATTTTCAGAGCCAAGAGATGACCTATGATCAGGGCTTTGGGGTGGGAGAACAGATGGGGAGATAACATCATCCAGGCCTCCTGTGTGGAAGCTCCCACTTCCTGATCCTTGGAGGACTTGGGTATCTGTGACCCCAAACCTCTGGCCCACTCCTACTTCCTTGGAGGACCCCACCAGCCAGCCTCTCGGCTCTGCCCCTCCCAGCCAATTTTCCTGGGGACCCCACTCATGAGCCACATGCCCTTTCTGTCCTCCTTACGGGGGCTGATTGAAGGTGAGCAGGAGATCAGTCTGGTACCGAGGCAGCCGCAGCAAGGCCTGGTGCAGTGTTATGTCCTTTGTTACCTAAAAGGATCATCATCAGGATGCTTACCTGATGCCCTAGGGCCAGCCTCTTCACCCCTCCAGGGTATCTCACACACCACCGACCCTTACCTGCTGATGTTCTTTAGCTACCTGCTGCTTGCCAGAGAGGACCCAGGCATCTTCACAGTAGCCCCTCAAGGCCAGATTCTCTAAAAGAAGGGGTTGCACAGCCTCCACTTGAACAGTCCTAGCGTCCTGCACCCCACCAACGTCCTCAAAGTGGTACCTGGAGTGTAGGAGCAGGGTCATGGAGGGGCAACTCTCACCACCTCCCCACAAGCATCTTTAAGTTTGAACTTAACTCGCTCACTTCCCGTGACAGGTTTGCCCTCCGAGTTCTTGTAGCCCAGGTTAACAGTACAGGCACAGGCCCCGCCCACTCATTCGGACCCGGCCTTCCCATTGGCCAGCCACAGGTCTCTCACCGCGCAGCCGCTTCTCCCTGCACGTGGGCCTGCAGCTCTAGAAGCTCCACGATCAGACTCTGGTCCGTCATGCGGTGGCAGAAAACTTCTTGATTGTCTGGGACTGGTCGGAGGTCGCTGGAAAGAGGCAAAGCAGGCCCTAGTTGACGCCAGTTCATTTCCGCCACCCACCGGATTGGCCTCCGTCCGCGCTGGGGCTTTCTAACCTTACGTCAATGGCCCCGGTAGGGAGTGTGGCAGAGAAGGCGCCCCCGAACAGTGGATACTCTCGCGTGGGCTCCATGGGTCTGGGACTAGAGAGATTTAAAGGAAACCTACAGGAAACCACGTGGTATCACCTCCCTGGGTTTCGCCGCAGCCACTGCCACCAACGGTCTTCCTTTGCTCCGGCCCTTTAAGATTTTGCCCCGCCCTGCGATCGCGCTGGCCCGTCGGCGCCCGCGCCTTCAGCCGCCCTCCACCGGTGCTATTCCCGGAAGCCACGTTCTTAGGAGGGCGCGGGGCGGGACCGCGGGGTTGGCTAGGAGTTGAAACCAAGGTTCGGGATTTGTGACGTGCTGTGGTTACTCACTTACGCCCGCTAGTCTCCTCCTTTTAAAGGGGGCACACGTTCTAAGAATGTCGCCTGAGACCCTCCTTAGGGGTCATTGCTCGTCCAAGTGACCAACGTCTAGGCGAGGTCCGTGAGTCAGAGGTGAAGATTTAAGTTACCCAGACTTCTTCTCGAGCCCTCTTGACAGAGAATGACCTGCCAACCAGATCGCTACTTCCTGATCCGTTGCAAGGAAGAGAACAATGGGACCAGGTGAATGAGCAGGTTAGGATTCAGGCCTCACGCCTTCCGGAAAGCGATACCCAACCCAAGGATTATATGTCTAATCCTTCTCAAATCTTCCGCCTTGGGAACTCGGTGAGGGAGTGGGGAGGAGGTGCCCTTATGGCCTCACGGGCCTCACACACACACCTGGCCGAAAGCACGGATTACACCCCCTATTGTGTTTCTTCTATGGGTTTTTAGAGTGTACTTAAAAGTTTCCGCTCAGTTATATCCTCCCAGCCGATTTCTTCATTCATCTTTGATCCCCAACACCTGGCAGAGTGTTTAGAGTAAAACAGACCCATTATGTACTGAGTGGTTGAATAAACCCAATAGTGTAAATTCTGGAATTCACTCAGAAATAAGGGCATCCTAGGAGTATTTTAGCCAGGGAAACAGCAGGAGCAAAGACTTAACACGAAGGAACATGTTTGGGGAAATCCAAATACAGACACCCCTTCAACTTCCCATGGTTCAACTTGATTTTTTCTTTTGACTTAACAATGGTGGGAAAGCCATGCGCATTCGATAGGAACTATACTGCGAATTTTCAATTTTGATTATTTGCTGGGCTAACTGATGTGCTGTATGATACTCTACAGAGTAGTCATTGTTAGATGATTTTACCCGCAATTGTAGGCTAATATAGGTGTTCTGAGCACATTTAAGTAGGCTAGTCTAAACTACAATGTTTAGTAAGTTAGGTGTATTAAATGCAATTTTGACTTATGATAATTTACAGTGGTTTTATGGGATGTAACTCCCAACATAAGTAGATGAACATCTGTTGTCACTTTGGCAAGGGAATGGGTGGCAGAGAGCTATGAATGAAAAGGCTGGAGAGGTGGCAATGTGCAGACTATTTATAGGGTATACTTAGGAGCTTGGACTCCTTACTGACTTCTGATAGCTAGCATCAGACCTCTCAGCCTCATTTCCTCACCTCTAAAACATTGTTAGGATTAAAGGAGGGTGGATGCAGCTGCATCTGACTCTGCTTCTGAGCAAAGACAGTGGAGAAATTCTAGAAAGGAGGGGAATGTCATAGACCCTGAAGGGAGAGAGGAGTCTGGACATGGAGAACCAAAGGATCCATGTCAGAGAGGTCTACCCCATGCAACTTCTCTCAGATGAGGAGTGGCAGATCTCTCTGTATCTTCCCCTCCCCATTTCTGCTGGCCTGTCTCCACCTCCTACTCACCAGCGGTAATACCAACTCTGTTTGCTTTGTGAGCATCAAGCAAATAAAGAGCCCTTGGAGACAGGCCTGCAAGGACGTAAGATGTTACGTCCTTGCCGCAAGATGTTAACAAGGCCCTAGCACTGGGCACAAGGGGTAGGGCCCTATTCATGGGCCAGGAGGAGGTCACACTAGATTGTGGAGACTAAGCAGAAAGCTCCCCAACTTCCCCATTTTGGGGTCTCTGGCATGCCAGAAGATGTGCTCTTCTATGAGTTCTGTGTAGCTGGGGACTCCTGAATTCTTGAGCTCTTGGGACATGGGTTAGGTATGCTCTTCTAGGTGGTAAGAAGCAGACCTCCATGGAGTGAGAGAGGTGCAAGACCAGACCTCTGGGAGAATGAGGTTGAAGGCCATCCTAACTTGGCAAATTCCTACTTTTCACTGAACTTCCTTCTCTCTTACCCTTCCTCTCTCTTTGTGTCCGTCCCTTTTTCTGGACCTCCCAACTGCTGATTCAACCATGTGTTTAAATTCAAACTCCCCAAGGGACAGGATGTAACTGGGCTGATTAGTTGACATTCAGTCTGAAAGTACCTATTTGGCCAGCTCTCATACTTAGCCACTTCCCAAACCACTAGCCAGACATTAGTGAGAGCCCTGGCTGACTGAGGCTAGGATGATGAGTATCATGGGACAAATCTCATTGGCTGAGATGGCCCACGGCCACTTTTCTTGAGGATGTGAGGGTATGTCAAGCTCTCAGCTTACTGGTTGAAATAGGCCCACAACTGATCAATTCTCTGCCCCTGGGACATACCCTTATCCAATGCCCTACATGCAGTTAATACAGTGGTTTGCTTTGGGAACAGGTGTCCCAGGGCCTTGGAGGGCACCAAGAGGTAGACCTCCTGGACTCAGATCAGAGAGATGATTCAACACCCAAAGTCAAGCATCCCTTTGAGAAGAGTTAGAGCAACATATATTTTTATTAAGCAGAAGTGTTTAACCTTATTTTCCTCCATGCACCCCCTTGGGCCACTTGGACCACTACTCAGAAAAAAATATTTTTAAATTCATAAAATAAAAGATAGATATACATAGAAAATGAAAACCCTTCAATACAATCATCAAAATCCCAGATTTTTGATACAGCAAAATGTGCTTCTTTGTTAGTACATTAACAAAATCCAGCTGTGGTCTAACAAGTGTAATGTCAAACCAGTGATGCTCATAAATCCTAGTTCAAGCAATCTGCAACGACTCCCACCTGGGGAGAACATCTATGATCTCAGTTGTGACGATCTCTGGTCTGTAGGACATAGATGTTAACAAAGCCCTAGCACTGGGCACAAGGGGTAGGGCCCTATTCATGGGCCAGGAGGAGGTCACACTAGATTATGGAGAACCACTACTGTGCTTTGTTATCTACAGTCACAAGGTAAGGAAATGCTAAATCTCAGTTAAGAGGTCATTGAAAATAAATGTAGTTGGGGTTTTTTGTTTTCCATCCTAGTTAGGTGGAGCTTAAGAAACCGTGCTATGAACTGTGTGCCCTAGCCATACACTAGGCTCTTTGGGAGGATATAAAAAAAACATGTAAAACATGGTACTTCTTTCTGAGCCTCCAGCCTGAGTGTGGAGAGCAAGGGCATATGGTTCACTTTTTAAATTTGATAGACATTAGTACCCCACACTTTACGTCTGAGGAAACTGCCTCAGAATGATGCCCAGGGTCCTGTGGCAATTAGTGATAGCTGCAGGAGGTTTCTAGACAAAGACCTGATATCATGAAGACAGTGTTTAAGAAAGACTAGTGTGTCCTTGTGTTTGGGTTGATGCTATAGCAGCCACTCAGAACCCTCCATATCTTACCATTCTTCCTTTCATACTCTGTACACAAGGCCCTTTGAACTTCCCATCAGCCCCTTGATTGAGTCAGCCTCTTTCATGCCTCTGGTCTTTTGCACATGTGCTCTCTGCCTAGAACCTTCTTTTCTCCCTCTTTCTTGGCTAGCTGCTCCTGAAGTTTCCCAAGGCTCTTGGCCTTTTGATCCCCACTACAGGCACCCCACTCTCTGATAATGCTAATCCCTAGTAAATTCTAAGCACCAGGAGCGCAGGGACCATATCTGTCTTTCATCTGTAGCTTCCCAGCGAGTTGTAAAGGACCTGGTCTATAAATATTTATTGAATGAGTGTTGCTTAAGACACTGGAAGTTATTTATTAATTAAGACCAGTTAAGAAATGTTATACGATAAAGAACTTGTCTTTCTGATTCCTAGGAAGGAAACTCTGAAATCCTTGGAATTTCCCTAGTGATAGAAGTTCTTTGTTATTCACAGTGAGCCCAATAGTTTATCCTAATGAAATGGCTAGTTTATGCAAAGGAAAGAATCAGGATGGAAGTGGGCCACACCAGAAAGACCAACCATGTGATTAGAGGGTTAGCACTTTGAGTCACTTGCTATTAATCCAACAAAATCCCAGTGAAGGTTCTGAACACTGAGGCTCAGGGAAACTTCTTGGTTGGTAAACACATTAATGTGCCGGGAGGGTGGAGCACTCTTACTCCTGAGGAAAAGGGCATGGAAGATGTACTTCAGAACTCTCCAGACCTTGTCGATATGCATCCTTTTGATGAAACAGGAATCGTAAGTACAGCACTTCCCTGAATCCTGAGAATTATTCTTGTAATTTTTTAATCTGTAAGCATCACAGGAACCCCAGAATATACAGCCAGATGGCCAGAAATGTGGACAGCCTGGGGACCCATGAGATTTATGGCTGGCACCTGAAATTAGGGCAATCTTATAAAAAACTGAGCCCCCTTACCTTGGTGGGATCTGATGGTCAGCACCAGAATGGTACTGTAGTATGTCCAAGTTGTTGTTAGAACATTTGGGGGTGAAATGGATTAAGAGCTCATTATAATATCCCAAGTTTAGTGTGATGAGGGTCTACACTAAGCTGGTAGAAATAGGAAAGAGATGAAGCCAGATAAGTGATAAGCAATGGAAACAGTAATATGGGTGATTTGCAAAGTATAAAAGAATGAGCATTTTGAAGACAGAGGCCTGGCCAAGAAGAATGGAGACACCAATGACAAGTAAGACAATGAACGTCTTGGCTGTAAGTGGGGCAAAGAGGAGAGAGATCTTCTGTTCTTGCCCCAAAGTCACAAGATTGGGCACTTGACCCTCTGTCCCCCACTTCCCAGCAGTGGAGTCCAGGGTGCAGGGAAGACTGCGCCATGTCTGTGCTCTGCAACATTTCTTCCTAAGGATCCAGTGTCTGGAGCTTGTGAACAGCACATGTCCCCACCACCCTCAGAGTGAGTTACATATTCTCACGAGGTTCTGAGCATCCTGTTTTCAACTTCTCAACAGACACATGCCCTCCTGCACCTCACACCTGTTTCTTAGCCCATATTCCACAAGTGTGAGAAGCTCTTTTCACCTGCTCTGTTTAGCCAAGGCCACTTCCTTATAATAGGTGAGGTATTTGGTAGTGGGGACAGTTCTCTGTAGTGTGTTAAGAAAGAATGTAGGAAAGAGTAGTTTGCCTCAGAGTGAAGACAAGGTCTTCAGAGATTCAGTGGTGAAGGAGGAAAACAGGCTGGTTCCCTAGACTCTTCTGTCACCCTGGATACCTTCCCAGGGGCATCCCAAGATACTCCAGTGGCTCAAGCAGTGGGAAGCCATTCAGCTAGTTAGACTGTAAAGTTAGTGGTGCCATTTCTTCTCAGCCTCC